GGGGCGGGAGGCACGTCCCGCGGGCCGTGCAGCCGGGCCGGGCCCGGGGAACCCTCCGAACCGTCCCCAGCCCTTGCCAGCCAAACCAGCCGCCTTTCGGGAAAGGGAGTGAGAGAGGCCTTCAAGTTCAGAAAAGCGTGGAGGGACTTTTTAAGCAAAAACAAACCCTGTTTTCAGACGAGGCTGGTTGACAGCTCCTAATCAGCAATAGCTGGCGTTTGCTGCCTAATTGCCTCCACATGCTTCTGTTTATCGAGCTTCTCACGGCTGCCACACAAACCCAAACACACACACCAACCCTAAACCAGGCCATGGTAACATTTCCCAACTGTGGGGAGAGGCCTGGCACTGGTTCCTGGCTGCAGTGGGTACACAGCCTGGGATCCAGGAGTCTGCAGGCCCTGGGTGGATGAGCACATGTGGGTGTTAAACAGTGTGAGGGCTCTAAACTGACAGGATCTCTGAAGGCATCTGCCCTGGCCGAGCCTGGCCTGGCTACAGCTGCTGGTAACAGTGGCTGAGACTCTTGGAGACTCTGATCGGCTCCTGCTTGAGTTTGCCAAGGCCTTGAAGAATGATCAGCACCTTGTCCACACAAGCTTTCAAAGCTACAAAGTTTACTGAGCAATATGCTGTTGTGCCGGTGGCAGGTGGGGATGGCAACAAGCCTGCAGTGTCAGGTTCATGAAGGTGTATGAAAATATCTTCAGGTGTTTTGCTGTGATTCATCTTTCTGCTACACCCTCCTGTGAGCCACAGCTCAAAGTCATTAAGAGTTAGACCCAAAGAAAGTACCTGGGTATGCAGGGTCCAGGGTCCTGCATGGTGTGTTTTTTAAGTGTCTGGCTTCAGAAAGGAATTTGGAAAGCTGAGTTAGAGTCTGCAGCTCACTGAGCAGTGTCTGGGGACAGTTTGAATCTCCAGAAAGAAAACCAGACAGCATTGCGAGCAAGGAGCTCTCCTAGGGTCAGCACATTCAGTCCCAGGCAGCCAAAACTGCTGAGCCTTTTCTTAGAGCTTCCGAGAATGGCCTCCACCAGTTTGGGGTCCAAAGATCAAAACCGTTTCCTGAAAGCAAAAGCTGAACCTTTTCTTAGAGCTTCCGAGAATGGCCTCCACCAGTTTGGGGTCCAAAGATCAAAACCGTTTCCTGAAAGCAAAATTTATAACCTTTCTTTCTCAAGCTGTGCTTAAAAAAGCGTAATACTCTGCTTGTACACAATGGTCTTGCCCTTCAGACAGTTATTCATGACACAGGAGTGTTCCTTGTTGCCTAAAGGCATCCTAATTCTGATTTCCCACCATAAATAACTGAACCATAAATAACTCTGTAGTTTATCCAATAACTGTTTTAATGAGAAATGTAGGAACAATCAGTGGATCAGAGTGCCAGTGTTTGCTTTTGTTAGGATCCCTTGTTGCTGAGGGAGAACCCAGTGCTGCAGCTGCAGAGTTGTTGCTGCATAAAAATCAATTCCAAAGGGGATCTGTGGAGAACAATGGAAGACAACACCCAACAGAAGAATGTATATTTTAAAGTTTCCTATTAATTTCCTGTGATTAGGCCTTATGAGGAAGAGCTGAAACATGGCATGCTCCATTCAAGTCTTAGCACATACACTGACACCATTCTCTCTCAGCCTTGACTTTGTCCAGCACAGATGGATAGAGTACAGCAGCTCTGTGGCCTGTTAGAATGCAAAGTTTGGGTTCCTGCTTTATTACTTATGGAGGTGGAGCTTACACCAATGCCATTCACCTTCACTTCAGTGAAGTTTGGGAGCTCTCTTTCAATAACTGCTTTATGTTGAATAAATGCAAGAAAGACACAGCTACTTGTGGGGAAGGTTGCAACAGATTTCAGGCTTAAAAGTTATTAGAAGGAAAAAAACTTTCAGAATTATAAAAATATTCTATAATGGACATTTATTGAACGGAGAAGTTCTGTTGTGTTGGGTTTTTTTCAGTTCAGAATTTCAAAACTCCTGTTACAAACTAGTAGAAAAAACAGAAGAGAGAAGAAAGTATTTTTTGAGTGGCCCTCAGGTCAACTGCTACATTTTGTTTTGGTGTATATGTTTGACTTGTTTCTCCTTGGAGACCTATTTGTTATTAACATACATAAAAACATAATTCTAATTCTAAGTCTGCCAGAGAGCAAACTCTCATCTCTGTGGCCATTCTCCTACTCTTCCCTGGTTCTGCTATCTTCTCCCTTCTTAAAGGTCTTACTATGAAAGGATATAATCTAAACCATGGTTATTTCCCCGGGTTGATTAACTGAATAATACATTAGGTCTGAGCCAATGGAATTTCCTTCACGAGAAAAGGAGTGGATTTCATAAGAATCTGATGACTTGATGGCTTTGAAAATCTTTTTCTCCCACATGCTGAGGCAAGATTTATGGTGTGAGCATGTTGCCAAGAGTAACTTACTGTAGACCTTTCTTATGTAAATAAAAGTGAAAACAGTGCACGAGTGCAAACATCTAGTGGTGGAGTAAGATAAACCCACTGAACTCCGTGACTTCATTTCTTTTTCAGTTGCATAAAAGGACTTGCTCTTTCTTGTACTGGTCCTTGTTGCTGTTGGGAGTGTGGTTAGCTTCACCTTGCACTTTGGTGGATCCCTTCCATGGTATGTGTAACCCCCATGCCTTTCATCTTACATCTGCTTTGTGGTTCTTTTTCACATTTTCATTTCATGTTACTTACTGTAGCCTTTTGCAATATAACTCAGTGAGAAAGAGTCTTTCCATGCTCTTTGCTGCTTAAGTAAGTTATTTTGAATTACCATTTACCCTTTTCCCTGAAGTCACACAGAGCTCTCTCTCAGTCTCTGAGCATCTTGAAATACCCACCCATCAACAATGCTTGTTAATATAAGATGCATTAGAACTGGAGAAAACTTAATGGAGATGAAGTGGTTGGTTTATCTAGATGTAGCCTTTATGAAGGATCAGTAATAGCAAAAGCCACACAAAGCTGTACTATTTTAATGGTGTCAGAATGCCAAAGGGGCACAGCTTTGTGGGTGCAAAGCATGGCATTTCCAATATTAGACAACGTGACTTATTGTGGTAGAAAAGTCCTTAGTCCAAATGCCTATGGCTGCCCTTCTTGTACCAGCACTGTGGGAGGGCATGGAGGTTGAAGAAAAAAAATCCCCCTCTGAGGGTGTTGTTTGCCAAAAGGTCATGCCAGTTCTTAATGATACAAGTCTCAAGTATTTATAGGGCAAATGCCCCTTAATTTTTCATTCTTTTGTGATCTGAGGAAAGGAAGGAAGATTTTCTCAGATTTCTGACTTGGTTCTTTCAAAGAAAGAAAATCCCTCCTGTTAGTCAAAACCAACATCACCATTTTATCATTCAAGCCCTCCTCTATGTTCACATAT